TGAGACATTCTCCAGACCATATCCTTCCACTGTCCGAATTATGAGCGAATCTTGATTCGTCTGAGAACAATACCGTCTTCAAAAAGTCCAGAGACTTGGTCATCACATCACTTGCCCATTTCTTTCGTCTGACTATGTTGGCAGGCCTTAATAAGGGCTTCCGTCTAGCTGCTCTGCAACGATAACCCAATCTGTGGAGAATCCGTTGAACAGATTTCGGGCTCATCCCACCAACTTTGGCCACTTCTGCAGTCGTTAATCTGGGATCCTTTTCGATGCTCCTCTTGACAGCCCTTTTTGTCCTTTCCGATGGACCAGAACGACCCGGACGCTGCTCATTTGTTTCCTTGCCGTGTTTCCTGAACTGCATGATGATTCTGTTGACTGTCGAAAGCGGGATTCCCAAATTCTGTGAATCAGAATGAGGTTCCTAAGTCAGCAGTCATTCTTATTATGCTTCAGGAGAGATTCATTCCCAGCTCAACTTATCTGTGCAAACCTCAACACCATACATCTACCTGGGTATAATCTACACTTCAAGACAGGAGGCAACACAAAAGCCTTCACAGGAGAAAACTTTCTTTTTGTTGTTGTTGTTGTTTTGAATTACCAATGTGATATGTATCCTTGGCTTGAGGCAATGATTCAAGCAAGCTCTCAACTGCCAACATCCTGTTTCAGGCTTATAAATTTAATATAAATTCTTGAATAATAACAGATATATTACAGTTATGCTGCTTGAATTGTGGCTGTATTTGCTGTAACATGGTTGTGGTTTTCAAGTTTCTAGATTTAACAAGTTTAAGTGCAATATATAATCAAAACTGAAGTTTAACGGTATCTTTTGCAATATCCTGAAAAAAGATCTTAGACCTAAAATGTTGAGATAAATAACACTACCATCCATTATTTTAGTATTTGTTTGTTTTTATGAAATTGCACTGTTTAAGTTGTCATTAGTATCACTGTCTTATTAAGAAAAAAAACATTTTCAATGTTTTAACGTATTTCTCCTGACAATGGTGTATTCAATAAAAATGTAGAACATTTACCAAAGTTATGAAACCTAATTAAAAAGTTTGTTTCTTTTTTCAGCTATTTTCTGTTGTGTACTTGGATTAGTTGCAGTATTTGTAAATGATCAAAATGCTGTACAAGAAGGAGGCTTTTTCCAAGGTTACAACTATATTACATGGCTAGTTGTATTTCTTCAGGTATGTCCTGCAAAAAAAATTATAAGTTACATAAAGTACAAAAATGAGATCTAGGCATGTAATTATATTTCATAGGGTTCTCTTAATTTTCTTAAGGTAAAGCTTAAACATCTAACAATGAAAGGATAGGAACAAATAGTAACCAAAAAATTTTGTCTTGTCATTAAATGGTAAGGAATTATATCGTACAGATCACTTATTTAATTATTGCATCTGAGGGCATTTAAAAATAGTTAGGAGATTGTATTTGTTCTTTGTTACAAGAAGAAATAACTTGCATTAAAATATTTTTGAACTGTAGTTAATTTAATAGCTGTTCATTAACAGTAATTTCAGTGAAGTGGGAAAAGTTTTAAGTCTTATATGCCTAAGACATTAGTAGCAATAATATTACTGTATATAGTATAAAAATCTTATCTTAAAAATAAGTTTTAATCCAGGACAGAGTAGGGTTATCATAAATACAAATCATCAAACAAATCAAAAGTTATGTATATAAAGAAAAAAAAGACACAAAACTACTGTATTCTTTTCTGTTTATATAGTTTGTTCTTTATGTGTGTGAATTATGATACTTACTACTTTTCTCCAAAATTAAAAGTGCCATCTTGAACATTACACGCCTCTTTGTCTAGAAGAAAAAAAAAATTAAGGGAGTATTATTTTTTCTTAGTTGTGTGATTGTGAATTTTGATTGTCAGAAATATCAAATCTACTCTAAAATGGCTTTCAGAATAAACCTGTATGAATGGGTGAGCATCAAAGTACATATATCACAACTTTTCACAGAGTTACATTCAAAGTATAATTAAACAACTTTACTTTCAATCTATTTCAATAAACTTTTTATCAAAACTTAGTATATAGTTTGAATTTTAATGTATGTTTTAATTTCGTAGTGAAATATTTAAATAAATTTTCAGTCTTCACTTCTGTGTATCATATGACAATTCTTCACTTCAAATTGCCAATTTTATATATTCTTTCTATCTCTAGTTGAGCTTCTGAGTTTTTAATACAAATTACTCATTTACAGTATAGATATTTCTGAGACATAATCTAAACTTATAGCCTCCAATCATCTTGCTTTACTGAGATATAAATCATAAAGTCATACCCCTCCATCTCATCACATCCTGTCTTTCAAAAAATGTCAGTAATTCTCTCTGACATTTGATATTGGATTATTTATAACTAATAGAAAGGAAAGATTTTAATTTACTAAATTCCATCTAAGGCTATCTCATTTTGATGACGGGTTTGAATTATTTGGCCTACAGTTTCAGTCTTAGCTACTGCCTAGTCATCTTGATGAGCCAAAGTAATTATTTTAAACCACTTATTGCTTAATTAGAAAACCAGTTGAATTATAATAGTTATAGGATATTGCATTCTTTTGTGATCTAAATTGAATATTTTAAATGAATAAAAACTCAGTAGAATACTAACAACAAAACAATAAAAAATTAGGGTCCACATTTGAGACTTTGAGACTTCAATTACAAAAAAATACGAGACCCTTATGTAAGTACTAAATTTCTTATTTTTTATGTACATTTTTTATTTATTGTTATAAAAGTAACAAAAAATAAATATTATAAACTTAAGTTGGATAAGAAAACTTAAGTGAAAAAAGTTAAATAAAAAAATTTTTATATGAGGTATGCATGTAAATGGCTTTTGAGTTATGTAATTTGGTACTTTGTGTACTGTAACTTGAGCTAGGTTCTTCATGGGTGAATTTTGCTTTCTTATGTTAGTTTAGTAGTTAGACACAGTTCAAAGAGCAATAAAATAAATTAGATAAAATCATGTGTAAAAAAAGTTAGAGGCCTAAAGCTGTTTCAATAAAAAATTGTAATTACCTGTGACAATCAGCAGTCATTCTAGAAAAAAACAATGTACTTTTGATTTTATTTCAACTTTTGCTACAGATGATTTTGCTACAGTTAGTGTTATGGTAGAGAAAGTAATAAAAAAAGAACAGAAATAAAGTTTAACGTTTTACCAGATAAACTTGATATTTATTTAGGATCATCTAGAGGTTATTTTAAATGAAATATGAAAACTGAGATGAAAAGAAGTATTTTTGTTCTTAATATGAAAATCATCTCACACTCAGACTGGTCTGAGTCAGATTTACTTTATAAATTCACAGACAAATATTTAGCAAAAAATACTTTATTAAAACATTTGTTCATGTGTATAAAATACTTTCAATGTTTAATAAAGGCCTTTGAAATTTTGTGAAGATACATGTAGTAAATTTGGAATTGTAGTAAACAGTAATTCTCCAATATGAGATCCTTCCATTGAAAATATCCTGTGCATGTAGAGATAACATGTATTTCAAGATTATACTCCACTAAGGAATGCAACTCCAAAAAAGTAAACATGACTAGTTCAGTAGAAAATGCTGGATTTTGGAGTAAAGGATCACTTTTTTTTTTACACAATACATTTTTAACTCATAAAAATGGCATGCATGATTTATGATAACACATATCTGTTCTTGTAACTAAACAGTGTTTACATAGTATTCACTTCTATACAAAGTAGTTTGAAATAAAATAAAATTTACATAACATTAAAGGACAGTAAAGGATCTTTTGGTCCATCAAGGCTGTCCTATTCACTAAACTAAACCAAAAAAAATACTTCAAAGCCAGCCCTTATTATTCAAATATTTATCAAGCTTTCCCTTAAATTTGCTTAAATAGACTGCATCCACCACATCTGAAGGTAATTTGTTTCAGAAGCCAACTACCCTCTTAGTAAAATAAAGCTGCCTTAGCTGAAGATGACTTCTTCCCTACCAAAAGTTATATTTGTGTTCCTTAGTGTCACCATACTCACCATTAAGTATGAAAGAAAGATGATACATCAACACTATCATTTCCCTTAACAATCTTAAATACCTCAATCAGATACCTTCAAAAGAAAACAAGTTTTGAGATTGTAACCTATCCTTTTATTACAACCTTTCCATCCCAGATATTATCATCCTTGTAACCCTCCTCTGAACCCTTCAATGTCTTTTCTAAGGTAAGGAGCCCAAAACTGAACACAGTACTCCAAATTTGGCCTCAACAGTGACCCATACAATACCAGTATAACATCTTTACACTTGTATTCATTATTTCTATAGATGCAACCTAAACTATTTGTCCTGCCACTAGCAATAGCACATTGCTTGGAGGGTTTAAGATAATGTTGAACCAGAACACCAAGATATTTTCCTTCCATAACACTATTAAGGTTATTCCCATCAAAATTATATTCATAATTTGTGTTATCTCACATGTGTTACCTTGCATTTAGTACAGTTAAAAAACCATCTGCCATTTATTTGTCCAATTTACCAAGTAATCCATATTCTTTGTAAGGCAGTAGCATCTTCCTCACAACCAGTAAGACCCAAATATTTAATGTCATCAGTAAATTTAGATATTCTTTTGATCATTCCTTCATCTATGTCATTTAGGTAGATCAAAATGAGCAAAGGTCCTAAAATTGAGCCCTGAGGAACTGTACTCATGACATTAATTCACTTTGACTCAACTTCATTTATAACAACCTTCTGCATTCTTCCATCGAGCTAGTTTTCCATCCAATGAGCCAACCTATCCCCCACATCTACAGAGATAACTTTTTTAAACAAGCCTTTAATGTGGTACCTTGTCATATGCTTTCTGAAAATCCAAATACACCAAATTCACACCTGTACCCTCATCAATATAAGCAGTAATCTTTTCAAAGAATGTCAAAAGATTTGTAAGGTAACATTTTCTTCTTGTGAAACCATGCTGACTATCCAACAAAACTTTATTAAATAACTTTGCAAAGCATCTTTTATCAGACTTTCAAAGCTTTTCCCACTACTGATGTGAAACTAATAGGTCAATAATTACTGGAACAATTTTTATCATCTCTCTTGAAAACATGCATAACATTAGCCAACTCCCAATCTTCTGGCACCTGTCCACTATTCAAGGACTTAAAAAAATTTTAGGAAGTGGCTCACATATCCAGTCCTTAACCTCTTTCAAAACCCTTGGGTAAATATTTTCTGGCCCAGATGCTTTATCATTCTTTAAACATCCCAGTTTTTCTTAATGAGCTTAGAGTTAATGTGATCATGTTGTTCAATTGTTTCCATCTATCAACTGTTCAAGATGAGGAATACTGCTTAAATATGCATTAGTAAAAACTGAAGAAAAGGTAGAATTTAATAACTAAGCCATCCCATAGTCATCAGAACACCAAGGTAATGTCATTCCTTAAAGATACTATTCCCATCCTAACATTTTGTTTACCCTTAATATATTTGAAGAAATCCTTACTAATTATTTTTACATTTTCAGCCAATCTTTTTACATACAGTTTTTATTGTTTGTCCAACTCTCTTGATCTTCTGTACTTCTCCAAATCTCCCATTGTGCAGTGAATTAAATTTCTTATATTTATAATGCTTTTCTTTAATTTTATCCTTTCTGAGCCAATCTAATTTTTTACTTACAACCACCATTTTTTGGCCATAAGAATACGCCTATCTTGAATATTTAAGAATTTATTTTCAAACTTTTTCCACATTTGATCAGTATCTCCAACTAATTCAGTTGCCCATTTTACAGCATATAATTCTTGTCACATCTCTTCAAAATTTTCTTTTTTTGAAATCTGGAGCCAAAAATCTCATTATTCCTCGTCTCTATATACAGCAAGACATCAAATATAATTGAGCAATGATCACTTGCATCCAGATGTTCCCTAATCTCTACCATATGAATGATTTATTTGTTATAAGTTAACAATAAATCTAAAATATGATTGTTCTTATAGGTTCCCTAGCCAGTTGTTGAAGCAAACCACCCTGAATAGTTTTTAAAAAATCTGTCTCCCTAATGATTTAACCCTAATATTTCCCAATCTGTGTGCCTGAAATTTAAATTTCCCATAATTATAACCTGATTGACAGTTTAATTCTTTATCTCCATTTAAATTTTTTCATCAGTTTCATCTGGTGGTCTGTAACAAATTCTAACTAAAAGTTTTCTCTCATTAAACCACTAACAGAAACTCAAATAGATTCAACTCTATTGTTAATAATTTTGACATCATCAACTAAACATGCTGTAATTCATATTTTACATATAAAGCTACTCCTCCCTCCTCTTTTTAGAACTCTATCCCTATAAAAACAACCTATAACCCTGTATTTCAAAAAATTTATTTCATCATAAATGTCTACATTTAGCCATGTTTCAATTACACCAATTGTATCAAAATCCTCTGTTCTGACCAATTCTCTAAATTCATCTATTTTATTTCTTATACTATCCTAGCATTAAAATAATAACAGTTTAGCCTTATCATTAAAACTACTTTTATATACCTTGTTCCCACACTATACCACTGTCTACATCTTATTTTTATTTCATTATTCTGGCCCTCTCCACTGTTTAATCCTAGTTTACATACGTCAGTAGTTAAGTTTTAGCGCAATATTTATTGTATAAATTATAAATTCAAGTTAAGTGTAGAGTAGAAAGAAGTATTAAAATGCTCTAAAAGTTTTTTTTATTTATTTTTGAGTTTATATCAGAAAATAATCTCGTGTTTCTGAAGCCAGTTTTTGTAAAATTAAAGACATCTTTGCCATAAACTGCATTAACGTTTCCTTATGTGAATAGTATGTTTGACAAGTATCATGCTTTCTAAGTTTGAGATGCAAAGAAAAATGTTGAAGACATTTGAAAACTAATAAATGCTATTAGGCACTAAACCAAAACATACCCAAATAAGTAAAAATGTGATCTAATGCAAAAGCTGAGGGTACATAGTGTTCCTATGTTTGTAATCAAAAGATTAAGAATTGAAATAAGAAGATAACAAGACACAATATCAATTTTTGGACATGAGTAATAGTAAAATAGTAGATTATTGCTACTCCTATTATTTCATGCATAATGATTTATCATAAGTTCCAGTAAGAGGAGTTAAGCGAAATGGAAACTAATGTAGTTTGCTTGCAGTTACTAACAACATTGTAAGATTAAAATGTTGTTGTAAAATCTTTATTCTGGACACCTAAAGAAGTTGTATAATTTTGTATCTTTTCATCCCTGTAGGCATTTGGTGGTTTAGTGGTAGCTACTGCTATCAAATATGCAGATAATATTCTAAAAGGATTTGCTACATCAGTATCGATTGTACTGTCAACCCTATTTTCTTACTTTATCCTGGGAGATTTTAGGCCAAACAGGTAAGAGAAGATACTACATTGTAGAAAGGGTAAAATGTACTTTAATGAGAGAGATGTCTGCAGTAGTAGGACTCAAACAATAGTAGAAAAGATATGTTGCATGTTGGAGTGCAAGCTTGTCATGTAGAAGAAAGAAAAATAAGGACATATTTTCGTTTTGACTGTCTTTATATTTGATGCTTTTGTTTTTGGCCATGTTGCATTAAATTAAAATCTAACACTGTATGACTGTTATCTCAGATATAAAACAGACAACTTCCCTGTTTAATATGGGCAATACATATCTTATGATTTGTTGCTAGACCTAAGGAAGGACTCATAATGGTGCCCAAAGTAACAAAAATAGCAGAAGTTCATAGAAAACTCAGTCCATGTGTTGAATATACTGCCTAAACCCACTTTAAAATAAGACTATTTTTATCTGTAATTTATATAATTTAGTCAAATGTTCTTTTTATTATTGTTTCTCAGTTACTGAAGAAATCAGTTAGTGGATCATCAAAATATATATTTGACCTCAGATTCTTTTATTTCTTATGTTAACTTTCTTTTTTTTTTCTATATTAGAAAAATTTGAATTAATTCTCTTCCTACTGTTTTGCTTACCATGCTCATGCGTAATGTAATTCAGTTGTGTAACATGAGCTGCACATTCCCAAGCTATTTACTTATAATGGCAAGAATAGTAATTAGACATGGTTCAAAGGGCAATAAAACAATATAATTTCATTATAAATAGATGTATACTGTTACAAGTTTAAAGCTAATTAGGATAAACGAATGTAGTTTCATGGCATATTTGAAGCTATTCTAGAAAGAAAAAGAGGGTAATTTAGAGTTATTTCAGTTTTTTTGTGGTGGCTAAAAGGTTGGTCAATTAGGTAGAGAAAATGACAAATAAAACAAAGTTTTACTGAAAACAAAAATTTGAAATATATTTAGGAGGTCTTAGAGATTACAACAAATGAAATTTGAGATTTTTGAGATTCTTAACATGAAAATCACTTTGCACATGGACTATTCAAAACAAATACTCAATATATTTAAGGACAAATCTATTTTTATTTTATTAAAAACACTTCACTAAAAATATGATTTTTTTATATGTGAAAGACTGCCAAATATTATGAATATACACACTATGTTAAAAGTTAGTAGTATCATATCTATAAGGACTTTTTACGAGTGCAAAGAGGTTACGTGGTCGGTCAAATTGACCGAGTCTATGTTGAGAGAGCTAAACAAGGTTTCTCACACATGAAATAAGTTACTGTAAAGTAACACCACCCAATGTTACCAAAATTCAGGTTTGTTCCTTATTTGATTATACATCAACAAGAATTCTACAATATCTATTAAATGATTTATAGGTGTAGGATGGAAAGGGATGTATTGATGTGTATTTCACTGTAGTGATGGATCATGTACCTCACTACATCAATATGGTAATGATTCTGTATCACCCATACAACAGATATTCATGCTTCAGTCAGACAGAGGTCTTCCAAATGCAGTTGTCAAAATGTTTTTGCTTTATAGAGAAAAAGTTTCTAAATTTCAAACAGCCCATGAAAGAAAATTTAACCTATGCAAGAAAAATATAAGGCGGTAAAATGAAGCTATTTTCAGTATGAATAGTCTATATATTGATATATACAATTACACGGGGTTTGATTATGTGTCTTTGTAATTCAGTAGAAGCTGGAATACCAAAAATTCTAACAACAATGCAAGCTCATGTGAAAGTGGACCTGTGGATGATACAAGCTCTAACTATGATGATTAAAAAAGGTGTATATGATGAAGGTTGCAATGATGATTTCGATAGTTATGTCAACAATGATACAGTAGACAGCAGCAATAGATATGTGGCTGCATTAAAGATGTGACTGTTGTATCTAATGATGAAATAGTCAAAGGTGATGGAAATGAAATAAATTTGGAAGAATTATAGATGACTATTTGCAAAGGAAATTTCACTGCAGAGGCATTTTTGGATCATCATTTATGCATCGGTAGTAATATATATAAAAATTTTTGGTTAACAGTGGATTACTAGAAGCAAGTGCATTGTCATGAGTGAAAGTTTTCTCATGCTGTTCAGATGATGTAGTATAAAGCATGTATAAAAGTGTGTCATGAGAGTGAGATGATGATACATGAATAATTTAATCCTGGATGAATATGAAGTCACCAACATGGGAAACTGTATGAAGTAAAATATTTATCAAATACTTACTTACAAATACATCTCTTACAGTAGATGGAAATTACTTTAAAATCCTGGTATACAAAATATTGATCTTCTTGTGACTTGATAAAGTTTTGACCATATAGTGTAAAAATAACTTTAAAAGCTAATTTCAATGATACAAATCTTCAACTACAGAGTCATTTATATCTTACCATTATGAATGATCTAAAAGCACATTTCAGAAAGTTATATAAACTTCTTCAGTCATAAAGTCATTTTATCTGCTACCTCTATGAATGATTTAAGTGATAAGACACGATTAACTTAGATGTTATCTGAAAATGGGTATCTTAAACATCAGTTGCTACAGAAAAACCACCTAAACTTGTTATTACTGTTATAGTTTCAATGTAGCTATATCACTGTTGAAAAACAAGAATTTTATAAGTCAAAGTACATATATTTTTCACATTAACTTAGAAACAAATTTTTGCTTCTTGTTTATCTTCCCTTTCAATATGACAAAGCTTTTATCTTCATTTGTAACAGAGTGTATATTCATTGTGGATTTTTATAACAAATCATCGTTGTAAATGTCTCCTTTGTGTAAAGACTTCATTTTTTACTCTACAGCCACCTATCTGTAATAAATGGTACCTCACTGGCAGTTTATGTTGTCTTAATCCATTTTATAGGATATTTGAATTTTTGTGTGAGACTCCTTGTGTGTTTTCTATGCAATGTTTAGTTTTCTTTTCACGACTCAGGTAATTTTGATATCCATAAACTATCACAGAACGCTTTGTTGATTAAATCTTATCCTTGAACTGAAAGTTTTTAGGTTTAAACATAACTTAAGAGATATAAATCTCCACAAGATGTGTGTATGAGTCAATTACATAATTCAGTAGTGAAAATAGAAAAACATTTTTATCAATGCATTTTCAATCGTTCAGTTTTTTAAATGATTTGGGTTAGTCTGTATCACTTTTGTATTTGATTACTGGGTTTCAGTGCTATCCTTAAAAATCCTTCAACACAGGTATACAAAATGTCCCAAAATCTTGATGGACAGTTTCACAGATATTCTATGCAAACATTAGGATGTTATAATGACAAACTTGAGTTGCAACAGATCAATTGAATCTTATATTAAGGAGACATTTTAGATTTGTTATAAGTAGTTCACTTAGTATCAAGCTTTTCCTTTCATTGATTTTCTTAATAAAATGCTTCAAGTTATTTTCTTTGATATCAATGAACATATACAAGATTTTTCAAATGATCAATTTTAAAGGTTAAAAAAATCTTTAAAATAATTTGGGATGTTTTAAAGAAAAACAGCATTAATGTGAAAAATAAATTACTATATTTTTTAAAGAATATATCAGTTAAATGAAGAAGAAGAAGAAGAAAGAGCTTATTTTTTATTTTCCCTTGTATATGGTTTTCACGAGTTTTCTGTTTTTCCAGCTTTTTCCTCTCTGGTACTTCTATTGTCATTTTGGCCACCCTCCTGTATGGATATCCTGAAAAATTCCCACAGCAAGGAAAAGCTTGACTATCTGTAAAGGTTTTAGATTCTAATGTAGCATGTGTGTGAGTAACCTATATTTACAGGATACATCATTGTCACAAAATCCAGTATCAAAATGGACCTTCCTTTTCTTTCATTATGTGTTGTTTCAAAAGTCCTACTATACACAATGAGTGATAACAAATTTTTCTTGGTACAATTACTATAAATCAATATTAAAGAAAGTTGATAACCGCACCACTTTAGGTCTACATTTTGAAAGTAGCTGGGTTTCTTTAAATATGATTTAAGTACATTTTAGGCCTACCTGCATCCCAGTTTTGATTAATAATTACTGTAAAACACATTAAACTAAAAGACACGATGATACCAAGCAGTATATGCAACCTGATGTTTTTAATATCTTACATTTAAAATGGACAGTTTCATCAAAAACAGAATGTAACTAGTTTGTTAAACTTCAGTTAAATTCAGAGTATTTTTGTGTTTCTTTTTGTTTGTATATATTTTTCACTATGTTAGATAACAAGCTGTTAAACATTTTTTGTCCAAATGTAAACAGCATTGGGTTCATTTCATTGTTTTATGTTACTTGATATAAAAGGTGAATTTTATTTCTGAATTTTTTTCCAAAAAAAAAGATTAGCAAGCAACTATCGTGCATAGTTTTGTTACATAATATCAGCTTAAATGTAGTTATTTTCTATTAAAAAACTATCTTTCAATATATGCTATAAACTTGATAATATTATTATTCCTGTCAAAATATTTAATTATCTTCTTAAAATTATCAAAATATTACATTTCCTGCATATTTTAATAAACAGAATTAGTATCATAGTTTCGATATTTTCTCCTCTACATAAGAATTGAAATTTGTATAATAATTTAAGTTGTTGAGTTGGTTTATTGAATTTATGTTCTGTTTTGTGTAGTGAGCTGTTCAAACCAATTGTCAGTTAAAAAACAATAAGAAGGGTTTAATCTGTGTAGTTCTTAAAATGTCAATATGTACATTAACTGTATATTATCCATTCAAGTCTTCCATTTGGACTTAAATTTAATTAGTGTTTGTTTGTGAAATATTTTGCATGTTGCAACAAAACATGTAAACTACTATATTATATTAAGAGTAGTAGTCAATGTTAATATTAAGCTCAATTCACAAGCACCTCGTCAATTTGGTTATTATCAGTAACCTTAAAGCTCTCAGTTGTATAATATTTTGTAGAAAGGATAGTTTGGTTTCGAAAATGAACTTTCTACTGGTAAAGGATATTTCTAACACTTTTATTAATATTCCTTATATTTACAGGTTAAGATTTATAAATTTTACAAATTACTATTTATTTTCACCTTTGAAAGTTAGAGTATGGTGTCCTTAGTATTTCATCAGTTACTGTTCTGCTATTAGTTTTAATCGTTATTAACTTGTTGTTAGGTATTACTGAAAAATATATATGTCTGTGTGTGTATGGAGAGAAACTAAAAACTTAGTTGCCTACTTGCCGGACTTTAAATATCAAGTTTTGAGTCAAACTGAAATATTGCATTATTATTATTTCTTATTTTTAGCTTGTATTATGTAGATCTGAATTATGTCAGTTTTATAATAACAGTGTGACAAAATAAGGTGTATTACTCCCTGGCATGGAAACACTTGTAAATGTTTTGCTATCATGTATATAAAATGTAAAATATGCCGTTGCCTTGATCTAACCATAAAATTAACACATTTATAATTTATGAATCTTATTACACAGTGTAGTTATTTAAATCAAGAAATTCTATAAAATAGAATTTTGCTGCTTCGCCATAAAATCACAAATCTTCGTAATGAGTTTAAATTAATTGTCATTATGTCTCCAAAGTTAAAATTTGGTATATATGGAAAATATATATATATATCTATATATACAAAGCCATACAATAGTATTCATAATAACACTAAATGTACCACCCACGGGTGCTTTAGGTAGATTATTTGAAAGTGAATGTATTGTTTAGCTTAAGAATTCTTGATCTTTATGACCAAAACTTTTCACTTATTCAGAATTTTCATTTTTTTTTTAAGAGGGTTACAAGAAAATGGTAAAACATAGTTATTCCTGTTGTGTTTTATTAGATTTGTATTAATAAATCATCGCTTGTAAGTTTAAGTCCAAGATCACTTGTTGCCATGTTCAGAATACATCACTTTACTGTTTAGTTTGCTCGACCATGTTAATGCAAAAAAAAAGTAGATAATGCTGTGGTGTGAGCATCAGGTTTTGACTTAACATGGGCATAGTACCAATAGTGTATGGTAGTGAAAATTTACCATCACCTTTAAAAATCAGTGTGTTGTGCATTATCTATATCTTTGTGCCTGTTCCCAAAACTTTTCCATTGCTTATATGCTATTTTAACAGATTTATACCCCAACCCACAATGCATACCCTCACTTGATTCATTGCAATTATGATATGCCAACACAAGTTATTCATGTCACTGGAATTGCCAATACCTGAGATAGTAATCTGTTTTCTATTTCTGCCAATAAAGAAATTTTTTAGCACTTTTAAATTATTTCATCCTAAGTCAGTGACTTCTTAAGCAGCTAGTGCAAATCACTAGGCAAGGAAAAATTTAGTTTTTGTAACTTATTTAATCTGATATAAAAAAAATGAAGTCTTCTTATGTATAACTTTCTGTCATCACGAATGTAAAATTATTAATTTTAATTTTCGGTTGTTTGCAATTTGTTTACTGGCAGTAATCAATAATTTATATTTATGAGATTTAGAATTGAGACAAGTGTAAATTCATTTTTGACAGATTTTAGAATGGGTAAAAGCAACAGTTTTCATTTTAGATTTAGAAAAGGTTTGCTCTTTTATCTAAAAGGTTTTTCTGTTTTGTTATAGGCTTTTATTTTTTACCTCAACTATTTAAGGTAAGGTAAAAAATTGTAGTTTCATTTGAACATATTTTAAGTCAAGGAGAATTTTGGATTTCATTTACTAGCATCATAAAATCCTTCGCCTTCCATGGACTGATTGGGCCCCAGGACTCCCATTTATTTTTTCTATAACAGATGCACATAATTTTCTGGTGCAATACAAAGTTATGGAGCCACCCTGCATCCCTGATCCATCATTAAACTTTGTGTGTGTCAGTGTGCAGAACGTTTTTTTTTAAATAAGTAGTTGCCAAAAAAAAGGGTTAAAATAGAAAAATGTTGAACTATTAATAACTTTAAATGTTGTAAAATTCAAGGCTGTTTCTTTCCATTAGAGTTGATGATATGATAGGTTTTTTTAAGCTCATAATAAAGTATTTTGCATAGTATACATTTTAATTACCTGTTGTCAGAAAATTCCAATAACAGGTAAAGCTTAACATAAACTACCCTTGTATATATCTTGCTTGGTTCATCAAAGCATTGGAATTATAGCTATCTACACATTTTAACACTTATTGAAAGACAACACATCAAATATCCAAAAATGTTTTTCATTCATCACATAAAACATTAATAAAACAGTAAGTCACATTCTATTCTGGATTGTTAAGTAAAATGACCTACAAATACAGGATATATCTTTGGATGTTTCTTTGCTTTACATTTGTTAAGTCAATGTTTTGAGAAAGATAAATGTAAAACAAAACCGATCTAATTGAGAGTTGCATAGCTTTTAAATGATTTAAATATAAGTAATAGAAATGACAAACAAATAATGTGATACATGCATAGTTCCTGAGATGTGTGTTGTTCCTGTGTTAAAGTAATGTTTGTGACCATGCTCACATTTTACGGGTACTAAGAAAATAGCCTGATAAATTACTGGCATGCATAAAAGAAGTGAAGTAGTCATGTAAAAGCATTGTTATTAATTGCAATTTTTTAAAAGTGAAATATAACTACAGCAACAAAACTGATTAACAATGGTAAGTATTGATTTTAAATAATATAATATGTTTGAAATACCTACTGCAACAAAAGAAAACAAGTTGGCAATTTAATTTTATCAATAGGCCTTCTGTGTTATATTAATCACTGACTGGGGTAGTGAAGTTAGGATGTATAATACACAGTATCCGTTCCTGTATTGTCCAAGGCCTGTTTACAAAGTGTGAAGCTTATATCAGTTTTAAAGTATTGCACTATGAGACATTACTTTTTACCAATGTATTTGGGCTTGAAGGATTGAAAATGGCCTTTAAAAGAATAGAGTCTGTGTGACAAACATGAATCATAAATACTAGGTTTCAATCTGAAAATGATACTTAACTTTCATTTGTTACATGTAGTTTCCCAAATCAATTTTTATCCTTAAATTTTCTTTACCTAAGAAAGGAATACCAGGGGGAGGTTTTCCAAAACAAAAGTTTTATTCCTGTTTAGAACTTTTATTAAAAACATGTTTGATTATTGAAAATAAGTTCTGCAGAAAACTATTGTGTTGTAAGATATTCTACAGGAAGATGATCTCATTATAAATTAACTAGTTTTATGACAGGGATAGTTACTATATTTCACAAAGAAATCCAAGTTCTTAGCTTCAGTTATGAAAGAATGGAGAAAGACATATTTGTATAGTTTTGTAAAAAGAACTCATAAAAAAGAGAAAACTTATCACAGTTAGCCTTTAAACTTTTTAAAAAAAATATTATACCTTAAGTAAAAAGCAAAAGTGTGCAACACTAAGTTTAGTATCAGTTACCTTCCTAACAGGGCTTTAGAAACTTGGTAAGCTTTATGCTCTGGATTGAGCAAAACTCGTCATTGATAATGGATATGATAATTATAGCATTGTTGGAAGTGCTATTATTATACATTCTTTTAATTGTTGAAAATCCCTATAGGACTAGATTAACAATGTAGTGTTTAAAAATGTAATAGGCCTAATAATAATGAGTTCTGACAAGTATAAATGTAAGTTTTATGTTTGTTGGAGCTTATAGCTGACAAAATGAGTGTAAAAAGAAATTGAGAAAAATTGATCTTTCAAAAAATGTGTATTTATGATATCTAAAGAAAGCCAAGTTTTCTTATGTATGTTGTACTTGGCAACTTTTTCAGTACAAGATGTTAATTTTTATTATAGGGTTTCAAAACATTTTAGTTAATATTATTTGTTAAGTGAGATGCTTTTATAGTTTTATCTTGAAAAGTTAAGTACATGGCTGTGTGAGAGCCACATTAATCATGAATGGAGTACAATCCAAATGTTGTGTAAGTAACTTCTAAAATGAAAAGATAAACTGTGTATTTAAGTAAAGAAGAATGTAAAAATATTATTTTCTTGCTGTAGAAATAATTCTCGTAAATTTATACTCCATAATCGTGCCCTCATTGATAAAGTGCATATAATATTATTTAATACAACCTCCACTAATTTCAGTATCTTAGCTCCTGGATAAATCTGATAAAATAACTGTCACCATCTCACTCCTTTATAATCCTTTTTTGGAATACGATATATTTTAATCCTAAGTCAGTTATTTTAATGTTGTTGTGCTCTGCTCTACTTGTTTCAGTCTTTTCCCTGTTGTTGTGAATTGTGACAATACTCATTAAAAGCCTATTTCAGTATTGTTAAGTCATTTATTCCATACAAATTTGTTAAAGAAGCTATATTAAACTTTTAAAATTATTTTAAAAAAGTAAGGTTAGGTCATAATTTTAAATAATATTATGTTATTAAATGATACTTTAAACTTGTTTAGAAAAAGCAAATTTCATATCAAAAAGGTAGTCGAACTTCAAAGGTAAAGTTTCAAAAAAACTTTAAAGTGCTTCAAAGTTATTAAAAAACACATGTCATCAGAGCCTTATGTTTTCTGTTTACTAATAAAATTTTCATGCCCCTAGTGACTCAGTGGTAAGTCTGATGGATTTTCCTGCTAAAAAATTTGGTTTTGATATCTGTGGTAAGCAGAGCAGATGGCCCATTATGTAGCTTTATGCCCAACAACAACAACAACAACAACAAAAATTTCAGAAATGCACCGAAAATGTGATTTTCCAAATGTTAGTTTTGTTCAACATTACACAGCTCTTAAACACATACAAACAAAAAATATTGGTTTATATGACCTGTGCTATATAATAGATATGATTTGTATGTATGTGTCTCACTATATGATTATCTTACCTTCCTACTTGCGTAGAGTCAGAATTTGTATAAAACTTGTAGAATTAAATGTAAGAAATAATCAGGGTATTAAAGCATTTAAATTAATTTGGGTATGTAGTTCTTATAATTTGAAATAAGTATAAAGTTTAAGGCAAGAATTTTAAACTATTTTTTAGGAAAAACATCTGTTGGTTACCCAAAGTAGATAAATGTGCATCCAAAAGACTTGCCTCATTACGTATTATATAAAGGATCTGATTTTTTATCTTAATGTTATGATGTAACTGAACTAAACACTCGCCTAAATAGATTAAGTATTTACAGTGAGGACTACTGTGTTGTTGAGATTGTCTTTTCACTGTATGTTGCTATAAAATTTTGATTGGACATGCGGAGGTTATGCTTTGTTGTTAAATTGGTTTATAGAACTATATTAACAAGAATAATGAAACTTCATAATGGGAAAAACATTATCTACAGTCTCTAAAAGTTTTCAGTGCTTAACATGAATACATATTTAGTACTCCGTATGCTTAACTGAATATGTTATGTTTTACTATCTGTAAGCCTAAATTTGTAAATCATAAGAGTTAAACTAGCTTTAATGATATTCCACACTAATTTATGTATTTCAGTGATTTTTAAATCTGTCTGATAAACGGGGGGTGTAACACGTTTCAGATGTTACTGAGTTTAGATACTGTTTGCAGAAGAAAAAATGTTAATCATTAAAATTGGGTAGGGTATCATTCCAAACAGAGTTAACTCCACTTGCATATGAGTAACTCATTCTTCATGATAGATTATAGTGAGAACACCTTTATATCATTATTTGAATTTAAGCAAAGTCAATAATTACAGAAAAGTTCTGTTGCTAGAAGCAAGTTTTGTTTTTTACTTCATTGTAAAAGCTGTTTTCCACTATTCGTGAAATGTTGCATCTTTGTATTCTCTCTTATTTACAAATTTTCTGGTGTTTTTTTACATTTGACTGTTTATTTGTAGCCATATGTAGAAGTGTTATTATAGATGCATGTAGATCTGCATACTTTGGTGACGTTTCAGTATATTTTACTCTATTACTTGTTTGATTGGCTTTTTGGTTGTTGATTTATGATTAATAATATGTATTTAAAACTTGGGTGCAGGTCATATAAATATTATGATTTTACTTTATTATCCAGTGTGACTTTATTATGCTGAATATCAGTTAACTTTCCATAGAATGTTTGTAATGTAGTTGTAAAGTAAATAACAAGTTATTAGTTGAGTGTGTATGACATTAAAAGTTGGAAAATAGTTTGTACACATTTTGTGAGACAAAATTGTTGATTATTGAATTTCATAAAAATGTTTTAAGTTATAACTGGTAACATAATAAGAGTAATTTGGTTATATTAGTTTTAAAGTAAACAGTATTTTTGCCTTTGTTGAAGTTAATACAAATTAATTTGTTTACAACATATCCTGGGAAGATATTTTGTTTTTAAATTGCTGAATTAATTTTAAAATTGATTTTAACATTTTTTAGTTTGTTATGTCACTGTTGTTGAAATCCAACTCTGGAAATGTGAATAGTTCAAGAATATGTTAAAACTTCAAAATGGATTTTATAAGTCAGTTCTTTAACTAAATGCAAATTGTGTGATACATATTTATTTAAGTATTAAATGTATTCAGTTTAGTACTGGTCTTCTGTTAAAGTTTATTGAATTTGAATCCACTGTTGATCTAATATGTAAAGGCTATTGTAAATACATGTACAATGTATTTAAATATTTATATAGATATACATGCATTGAATTAATGAATTAAATTGTATAGACAAAGTATATCAAATTATCTGCATGAGATTTATGGATTCAATGGTGAAAACAAACGTTTTAAATCTCATAGGTTTAATTGTTGTGTATTTTGATGTTTTACCATAGTTACCAACTTAGCTCTCTGATAGCTTATTTAGATTGAAATATATGCCTCACAGGTAGTATTGTATTTTGTTTTCAGTGGCTATTAACATTAGCAAATATCAGTTTGTATAAAAATATATATTTTTCTGTCTTTGCAATATGTTAATACAAGTTATTTTGATTTCTTTCATTTTCTTGTTTTATCACAAACCACACTGATAAAAATACTGTAGTGTGTTGGGATATACAAGCATATTTCTATAGTTTAAATTTGTTTGAGCACACGGATCATTCACCCATAATTTATACCTTGTTTTCAACTACATTTTTTGTTTTGTAATAAAGTTGTGGGGTGGATTAACCATTGTTATTTTGAAACTTTCACGTACTTCCTGTTTATTATTAAGACTTTTAACATTACTGGCAGAATTATTATGCTCAAGGAAACACCTAATGAGCCCACTCCAGTTCAAACAATGAAATTTCACAAAATTTAAGCACTACTCACTGCATTACAAGAAGAAGAGAATCTATAATGTGTGGTCAGTTTACCCTTTTTAAACATAATTGCTTTCCTAGTTAATGTAACAGGTGTTATTAGATTTTCTTCAAATATTTGAAGATTGAATATTAGAGACATTCTTATGTAGTGATATGTTATCTCCTCATTAATATTGTTACGTCTCCGTTTGTTAATTAACTTTCCGTAACTTCGTTCCGACGAAACTTTAGCGACACAAGTTCTTTACTTAATAAAACTGGTTTATTCTTTCCGAATACAACTTTACGATACACTTATTTTCAACAATCGCGCTAAAACAAACGCTATATGAACGAACGTCAATAATACTTCTGACTGCAGTTCAATTACTCACTATCTTCACACACACATTACCGTCACGTTGTCACCCTCTTTTATATACCAGACTACCCTATATCTAGTAAATGCTAGAGCATTCGCCAAAGTACAGGATAGTTCTAGAAAGTAGAGGGCGTAAGAATAGTCACGTGATCTCGATGACGCAACAATATGATTTGGCCAGTATGTGTAATAATCCTTTAAGGTTTCAACACACTTTTACTAAACTTCATAGAAATTATTGCAGTGGTGCGGCATCTAGTCCCCAAGTACTAGAACTTTTTCTAATGCAGCTGCTTTGTACTTTCTGTTTTTGGTAGAATATGGTTAGAGTACTTCCCTTCTATCACAAGATTAGCTCTTCTCATTTATTGCTGCCCTCTATATTCGAACTTTTTTATTATGCATGTCACAAGCCTTCCACAATGATTCCATCATGTCACTCATATAAATCATCATGCGTCACCTATCCACCAATAGGAGCATAGTATGCACACGTGATGCATGTGACTCCCTCTGTGTGCCTCTAATGAACTATCACTTCTCGTTTGGCAGCGCTTGCACTCCGACGTCTTTCTTTTTCCATCTGGTTTTGTGTTTGAGATCGTATTTTCCTGAAGTGGTTTAACTTAATTTAAAATCAGTTTTTTTTGTGGTTTCTTTGACATTATTTGAATTCACTTACCCTTATTCCAGTCGCATTTCTTATTTACTTCAAACGCTTTTGTCGACTACATCACCATGAATTCCGAAGTTAATGTCACTACTTTGGGTGTTACACAATTAACAGGTGCTATACCACAGGCTTCAGGTGAGGTTGACGAGGACTTTGATCGCCTGTTTCCACCTCCGGATTTTGCCATGCCTTCCCATACCCTTCCTGAGGATTCTTATCGGTCGTCCACATTTTTTCGGACTTTATTTCTCAGGTATGTTATGTTTTATCCCTTGCTCCTATATCTTATGCCCCACATTCTTTTCTATTGCTTGAACATACTTTTTAACCCTCTTTGGTGTTTCCCCCATCCCCTGACATATGGGTTCGTGCTGACCAATTCTCGTCTCAGTTGGGGGATGATATTGGTATGCCTTATCCCTCACAGGCTTTGGATCAGTTGACCCTCGCATTTCATAGGGCAGACTGTCCATATCTCAACCAACAGCTGTTAGGTTCGGTGTGCCCATTTTCGGGCAGGCCCCAAATCTCTCCTTAGTCTCACCCATGCCCAATTTTCCTGCCTTCGTCTTACCCTCCTGACCATTTTGTGGTACCTTTCCACAATCCATCTCTTGTCTGAGGCTCTTCACAGAAAACTTAAGAGGTTTTCTGGGGACACCATCTCCCTCCTTATCTCCACGTTGACTCGTTTATCGTCTTTGGCTCTGGCTTTATAGGCATTGTATCCCTGTTGTTGGGACCTTTTTGGTTGTGATGCTGTTTTACCTCAAACCGTTTATCTGCTCCTTATCTCCAGGACTTTCATATGGCTCCATTTTTAAGATGCTTTGTCTTTGATACAGTCCTGAAATCCTTGGAGTCTCGGGTGGCATCTGTCCAGCAACAATCTACCATTTCCTCTGTAGTTTCCCGTTTATCTCAGCTAGAGCCAAGTGTGTTTCTTATTTCAGTTTCATGTCCTTTCCATCTCTTACCTATCCCGCAGTGCCACAGCTCACCATTTTTCTCAACAACACACGATATGCCACCAACAGTTCTGGTGAATATCTGGTGGAATCTGGCCTGGTAGGAGCTTCATCTTTGATATGGTTCTGGAATTCTTGGAGTCTCAGGTGGCATCTACCCAGCAACAATCTATCATTTCCCATGTAGTTTCCCATTTATCTTATTCAGAGCCAACTGTGGGACCTGTTTAAGTTTCCTGTCCTTCCCATCCCTCACCTGTCCCTCCTTCCTGCAGTGCCATGGCTCATCATTTTTCTCGACAATGCATGATACTCTGCCAACAGTTGCAGTGAATACCTGGTGGGTTCTGGCCCTGTGAGAGCTTGCCTTCATTCATTGGTGGTGCCCTTTCATCTCGGATGTTTGGGTTCTTCAGGTTTTGTCAGAGGGGATCGAAATTCCATTTCTTACCTCACCTCCATTGTTCCAGATCTGTTTCCTTTCCTTCTCCTCGAGATCCAGTAACTTGCCAGCATCTATCAGAGGCAGTACAAGACCTCCTCACCCAACAAGCTATAGAACCTGTACCACATCATTCATCGGAGTTTTAATCTCGTCTCTTTGTTGTTCCCCAAAACACCAGGGACTGTAGGGCTATCATTGATCTGTCCCACCTCAATCACTTTGTTCACATCCCACATTTCACCCTGGAGTCCTACCTCAATCTTCAGTGGGTTTTTTCTCCAGGTCTATGGATGACCAAGATGGACTCCACTTAAGCAAACTAGATAGCAATATGTTTGGGAAGTTTTGAATGTATTCATTAAAGATAGTTTAAACTAAAACTGTAAAGTGGTGAGGGAGGTTGGAAATTATGAACATAAAACAAATAGGTAGGATGGCTCGGGCAAAGAGGATATTGAAATATTTTTTCAAGTGTGAATTAAATTATAATTTGAAATATAAACTTCATTACTGTTTCTAAAGTTAGGAATTACAGGGAATAAAATAGATGAGTTCAGAGCTCAAATTCAAATGGAAAACTATGATATAATGGAAATTACCAAAACTTGAATATGGAGAATATTGATAATAGGATTTTCTTTTAAGTTCCAAGTTATGAGTTATCTAAAAGTGATTTTATATATAAGAAATGAACTGTATCCTGTTACAAATGAAGACATAAAAAATGGTAGTCAAGAGATTGAATCTAGTTAGGTTACAAAGATAGAAAGGTTTAATTGATGGTGTTATAAGCATCTTTATCAGACAGATAATATCATTAAGAAATCATATAATGAGATAAGGATTGTTACTAATAAGAATATTGATGCAGTAATCATGGGAGTATTTAAATTTAAGCACACAAACAGCAAGATAGATTTCTGCATGGATGGTTTTCTGAACCAAACTGTCAGAGAGCCAACCAGAGGGGATGCAATTTTTGATTTATTGTTAACCACTAGTGAGGATGTGGTTGCATAAGTTGAAGTGTGTTAGTAAGGGGACATTTGGGGAAGAGTGATCATTGAATGATTAGGTTTGATGTTTTGCTCCATGTTGAGATAAAAAAAAATTAGTTTCTAATTTTCACAAAACCAATTTTGAAGCCACAAGATAAGATGTATTGAATTGAGATTAATGAATTAAAAGGTGCTAAATAAGAAAATCAAGGATAAATTCCACTAAATAAGAGGTTTAGATTGACAGTTAAGATAGATGATTTATAACACTCTAAGAAAACTAAGTGATTTGGTTAAAAAAAAAAAAGGAATTCCAAAAGGCTTATGAGAAACAGGTGGCTGAAAAGATATTTCAAGAGAACTTTGTGCTGAAAGCTAATTAAAAAAAAAGATAAAACATCTTTTTAAGCACAAGTAATTTATTGGAGAAAAACATAAATATACATTGTTAAAATTAATATGCACTAACTATATAAGATGCCTAATTAGTTTAGACACACAAAGTATGCCATTATCGAGGACAACACTGGCACGGTCACAACCACTATGATAACTTTTAAATTTCATTACATCAAGGGTTTACTGCAAACAAATTATTTCCATATTAATTTCTAACCCCACTACATTGTTTATATTGGTAATTATTTTTTATTTTTATATATGCCACTAGTTAAGACTACTCACCTGGAATATTGTGTACAATTTTGGTTTCAATATCTAAGAAGCTATTATCATTATTATTGAGCTTTCTCAAATCTTATGACATTTCAGCTGTTACAGAATATTTAACTTTATTTATTACTTTCTCTTGACCATTCTACGTGTTTTATGAAGTGACAAAAGGTTAGTTAAAATCCAATTAGTTGTGCTGGACACTCTTCATAGGATATAACTATGTAAGAAATTATGCATAGTGTGGTTGTTGAAAAAGTACAAAAAGGAGTATGTAGTAGGTTAAACCACCAAAGACAACAATGTGCTAATGACCTATATATGTGCCCTTCTTCAGGTATCTGTAGCTGAACAGTAAATCCATAAATGAAAATGTTTAACCTATTATATACACTACTTAGTATGTTTAGCATAGCTTTTCTTTTTTATTACATTTAAATTTGTTATATTTTATTAGAGTACCAATATTTTAATTCTTTATTTTATGATTTCAGATATCTATTTAATTTATTGTTTTGTATCTTCATAAACATTGATTTTTGGTTGTAGTGTCTGTATTGTCCTGCTAGT